TTTCTGCTCTGACTTTCTAAGTCTACTCCTCACACATAGCTCTGCCTAAACATCCTGTGTTATGTTACCCTCATAGTCTAATTCTGTCATATCACCACAATAATCTGTCTTCCCTATAAGAACATAAGCTTCAAAAGAACAAGACTTTTTATAGTTCAGAAGTCCATCCCCAAACCTGGTTTATCAAAGGGCTGAATAAACATTTTTTAAGTTGAGGAACAGATAAACCTTTTCATTAAAAGCAGTAAAACATCATTTTGGAAGAGGGGCTGTTGAGGGGAGGGACTACATGGAGGGGGATGGAGGAAGGAGAGAGTAAATGGGATGAATATGATCTAAGTACATTATATATGTGTTTGAAAACAGCACAATGAAATCTACTAAAAACTGTAAAAAAAAATAAAATAAAATGAAGGAGAAGAGATAAGAAAGAGCAACAGGGAGTGAATCTGATCAAAGTTCATTGTATATATGTATGGAAATATCACAATGAAATCCCTTTATACAATTAATATATGCCATGAGAGATCCTGAGCTAGAACCACTCAGCTAAGCCACTACCAAATTCTTGGCTGGCAGGAACCAGGAGAGATAGTTGGTTTAGGTTTTGTTTTGTTTTATTTTGTTTTTGAGGACAGAGGCTGATATAAGAAGAACTAGAAAACCTAAATAAACTATCACGCAAAAAATGAGAAAATAATTCCTGCTTTCTATCCCTTAGAGTAAAGAAAGTCATAATCTAAAGCAGTTTTACAGTTGAATTCTATCAAGTTTTTAAGAACCAGGTAACCACTCTTACCAATCGTTCAAGAAAACACCAAAAGAGAATGCTGCAATTTGTTTTAAAACATGGCTATCTGTAATGACCAAGGAACATGGACAGTATAAGAAATTTATGGGCAAATTTCATTATGAGTATATATATATATATATATATGAAAATCCTAACTAAAATGTTAGCTAATACATTTTTTTTAAATACATGCAAAAATTCAACTGTCACCCCTAGAAATGACTATTAGTACTACTTCAATGGAAACAAAATAAGTTTGCTTTTCTAATAGGCAATATTAGTTACAAATAACCAAATAGATATAATTATTGAGGGCAATCTTCCCTTTACAGAAGTACTTCAATAAATGCAGAAGGAATTGCAAAAACTAATTTTGCAGCTCTTAATTAAATAAATGACTTATTTAATAGTATTAGGCAAAAAGGTGATAGAAGGCCAAGCATGGTGTCTCACATCTGTACTCTTAGCTACTTGGGAGACAGACATCAAGAGGATCATGGTTCGAAACTCAAGTCCACAAGACCCCATCTCAAAGCAATGGCTGGGCATGGTGGCACATGCCCTGTCATCCCAGCTAGGTGGAGAAGCACAATTAGGAGGATAGCAGTCCAGGTTGGCCTGGGCACAAAATGAGATCCTATATAAAAAATAACCAACACAAAAATGACTGGTGGAGTGACTTGAGTGGTACAGTGCCTGCCTAGCAAGCATGAGGCTCTGAGTTCAACCCCCTAGTATACAAAAAATAAGAAAGCTGGTACCAAGGTGTCACCCCCAGATATTACTTATTAGTTACAAGGGCTAACTATAATGGAAAGACCTATCACAATCATAATCAAATAATCAATCTTAGCATCACTAATAGCTCAACAGTCAGACAAATGTGGGTAATGCGATATAAACTATACAGCATCACCTATGAGATGTTCTTCCCAAATATGTTCAGTCTGAAGTAAATCAAGACTTTTTCTTTTTTTGGTGGTACTGGGTGTTGAACTAAGGGCTTTGTGCTTGCCACGTAGGTGCAATACCACGTGAGCCATGCCTCCAGTTCTTTTGGCTCTGGTTATTTTTGAGATAGGGTCTCCTGCTTATGCCAGGGGAGGCATGGGCCATGATCCTTCTATTTACACTTCTCAAATGCTAAATGTGAGAAAGCCATCAGACAAACCTAGGAGGTAGGAAATTCTATAGACCAACTGGCCTACTAATCTCTTCAACAAGGATACCTCAGGTGGCAAAAAGTGATATGCATGTAAAGGATGTTTTAGATTTAGAAAAAATCAAAAACATGTAACTAAATGCAAGGTATAGTATAGCAAGATTTTCTGGGAAAACTAACATTTTGAAGGGAAGAAAAATGTGAAGCAAATGCTATTTTGAAAAAGAAGAACCAAGGAAGAAGATGATTCTCTGTATCTTAAGTTAAAATATAAAACCATGTCATTAAAACTGGGTTAATTTGTAGAATCAGACAAATAGATCCAAGTGAAAATGCAACCAAGAAATATCCATGAATAGCCAGGCATAGTGGAGCATGTCTGTGATCCCAGCAATTCAGGAGATGGGGACAGAAGGATTACATACAGTTCAAGGCCAGCCTGGTAAGAGTTAGCAAGACCTTATCTCAAAAACAAGCTGGGCGTGGTGATACACACTTGTAATTCCTGCTTTCAGCAGGCAGAAGTAGGAGGATCACAGTCCAAAGACAACCTAGGCAAAAGCATGAAGCCCTATCTGAAAAATAAACTAAAAAGAAAAAAGATATGGGGCATGGATCAAGTGGTAAAGCAGTTGCCTAGTGAGTGCAAGGCCCTGAGTTCAATCCCCACACAGTACCACCAAAAAAAAAGGAAAGAAAGAAATATCCATGAATACCTGGGAACTTACTGTAAGATAAAGTTGACATCGGGTATCAATGGGGGAAAAGACAGACTATTTAATAAATGGTATTGAGAAAATTAGTTACCTATATGGAGAAAAATTAGGATGAATTCCTACTTCATACTGAAAAATATAACCCAAATATCTAAATGTGAAAAGTGAAACTATACAATAGAAAACAACACAGATTATATACTGCATTATATTTTGCATCAAAAAGATTTCTTTTTAAAAAGATGAAAAAAAAAAAAGCACCAAACAAAAAAGGTTTATAATTGGTAGATCTGACCACACCAAATGAAGGATTCTGTTCAATAAAAGAATCTAAAACTACAGTTAACAGGTAATAGATTTGGAGAAAGCATTTTTTAAAAAAGACTAAGTAGACAAAGGTTCCCTTAAATACACAAGTCAGAAGATTAAAAACCCCAATAATAAATGTGCAAAAGGACAGAAATATGCAATTCCAGAAGAGAAAACCTGAATATCTAGTTAGTATATGAAGAGATTGTCAACTTCACCATAATGAAATAAATGTATATTAAAACATTTGGACATACCACTTTATACCCATCAAATTGACAAAAATTAGAAAGTTGGATAATGTCTAGTGACAATGTGGGCATGGTGAAAGAGCTACTTTTTCCTGCACAGGTAGTGGGAACAGTGGAGCCACTATTGAGAGTGGCAGGCAGAACCTAAGTCTATACAAAATAACACCAAGAATTGGTGCATATGCCTCACAGAAACTCTTCTAGTCCTAAAAAGTAAAGAATATATTCTTTAAAAGATTGCTTAGGATAGTAAAAGAAAGTGACAAAAGCAATCTAAGTGCACAGTATTGGGGGAATGGCTAAGCAAAATATGGTATATGAGGAATACTTTATATCAGAAATAAATAACCAAATACATATGTAGCAACAGGGAATAAACAGTGAGATATACCATACAATAACTGGGATATTACATACACACAGATATGTAAAACCTTGAGAAATGTAAACACTGGGAAGACAGACTCAAAGGACCTAAAAATGCTAAAAAAAAATAATTATAATAATGCAAGAGTGTGTACTTTCTGCATAAATGAGAAGAATGGAATTGGAGATGGGAAAAAAGGGAAAATACACATAAATCCCTGAAGAATGATCTTTTAAGAATCAATGATGGAGTGAGCCATGAATTAAGAAATATGAGCAAGTGGATTCAATGAAACTTAAGTCCTAAAATGAATAGGAAAGAAAAAGAAATGGCCCTACAGAAGAAAAACAAAAGCCAATGGCACAGAAAAAGATCACTTAGGACAATACAACTAATAAGCAACATGGTTCAGTTACCAGGGTAACAAAGGTGATATGATTCATCTGCTTTTAAAACTGCAATATGCAACATAAGTTTATTAAAGACATAAAAATTAATGTACTTCTGTTTTAAAATTCTAACAAAAAGGAATACAAGTGGGAAGAAGTAACAATGAAGCAGATGGTAAGAATAACCTACTTTTTCATCTGGAAACCTTTTACAAGTACCAGCTCTAAAGACAGTTATGTTGCAGTTTCACAAGCAGCATCAGAAGTTACTGTCTCTGGTATACGGCCCCTGGACTAGTTGAAATTAGCCTAAAAAACCTGAAATTTTAGGTCCCTAAAGGGCAAAGGTCATGTCAAACTAAAATGCATTCTGTATAACAGCACCCAGCACAGACCTAGTTTATTTAAGCAAAGGTTAAATGTCTTCTGATACATAACTAGAATGTCTTCAGTTCAGTATCTCTTCTATCTCAGCCTCTAGTGCAGCTATCCAAATGAAAGACCCAGAAAAGGAACAAGATTATGTGAAGTCACTGCCCAATAGCTACCACTGTCATCTCCCTCACTAGCACTAAAAGTAGAACACTGTAATTTTCTCCTCCCACTCTTGTACTCTTGAACACTAATAATATAACTTAGATTTCTTATACCTCTCTCTAATCTATAGAAAGGAATAGTGAAGATTAGGAAATATAATCATCTTTCAGCTTAATATAGTATGGCCCATAAAAGTGCTCAACCAATTTTTGTGAAATAAATTGTTAATTTAATTATAAAGGTTAGTTGGTGATTTGGTATATGTTAGCAAATATAATTAACCTTGCAGCTCTTTTAAACAAATAAAATAACTAGGGACTAGTACATCTGAAAAAAGACAATTCCAAGTAAATAAGATTAATGATTTTTGAGACACAAAGAAAATATCCAAAATACATCAAATCAACTCACTCATTTAGCTGAGCTGAACAGAATATATGACTAGCTCTCATAAATGGATATATTCTTATCCTTACCAATGGGGGATTCTGGAGTCAGCCCCATGCTTTGAAGCAATGCTTCAGCTTCTCTTCTTTTTTTTTCGAGATCTGATTCCTCTTGCACAGGAATAGTAGCTTCCTTCTTCTGATCAGTCTAAAATTTTTAAGTTAAAAACTCAAATTTACATATGATATGAAACATTCCTATTTGCAAAGTATATATTTTTTTAAATAAAATGTTAATACTGTGCACTTTTAGGGATGAAATTAGATTTGGATATAGATTAAGTATAAATCATCCTCAGTAGATTCATGTTTATATGTAACTGAGGAGTGTCCACAAAAACTTTCCAACAAATAAATTAAAAAAGCACAATCAACTTTAAATTCTCTTTACAGAATTTGAAATTTTAAATTGATAACTATGGACAGGAACTATGAAGATCTCCTCTCCATCTACAATGGCACAAAAACTTAGGTATAATATGTATGAAAAGGTCATAATGAAACCCATTACTTTGTACAATTAAAAAAGTTCAGATATAAATACCAACACCATGAAAAATTAAGGTGGGATTATTTAAGATATAACAAATTTTAAGTAAATGGATAATTTGATTTGTTGAAAAAAAAAACCACCATTATCTTAAGCTTCTATATAAAATCTTCATTGAATTTGTATAACTTTATAAAGACAATGCCCATCAAAAATTCTTCTAGAGAAAGTTATCTTTGTTTTTTAAACTATGGGTCTTACTTTATTTGATTTTTAACTTAAGAGACAGGGTTTGCTATGTTGCCCAGGCCTGCCTCAAAGTTCTGGGCTTAAGAGATCCTCCTGCCTCAGCCTCCCAAGGAGCTGGGTTATAGGCATGCACCTCTTCACATAGCTTTCAAGCTTTATTTTAATTTCAAAAACACAAGGTTGGGATTAGTTAAAATTAAAACTCACTTTTGCATAGCATAAAACATTTTTTGTTATGAAAAATTTTGCCAACTTTTATTTTAACCATTTATAGTTTTAGCAAAATCTTTTAGCTAAACTAGATAAACCTCAACACTCTCAGATAATCCAAAACATTTCAAGTGAAGTTCAAGCTTTTAAGGAAAAGTTTTATATACAAATACCTCAGATGATGTGAACCAGACACTGAATGAATTTTGTTAGTCATAAGATTTTATGATACTACTTTAACTTAAATTCATCAGAAAATTTAACCAAAATTGCTGACTTCACTGTATATAATATAGTAGTTTCACTGCTTATTATCATTGAATTATCCCTCATAATATTTTATAAACTTTAGACATCAATCATCAGATATCCCTGAGAAACTAATTATGGCCATGCTTAGAAAACAAAAATCAAATTTGCTCTCAGCATTGAAGAGTTTAAGGTTAAAGATAGTCTTTGGAATGGTTTTGCCAGTCTGAATCATGCTCCTACCAATGTTTAGCTTTTAGTCAAATACCTAATACAAAGCTTTAACCCTCTCATAATAGTATATCATAGGAAGGTTCAGAATAAACTAGCTACTTCTTCATTTAGAGACCTTTACAGCCTCATAGCTATGCTGAACATAAATTGTACCTTTGATTTTTCTGCTAATGATTTTTCTCTTAGTGTCTAAGAGATTTGTAGTAGTCTTGGCTACTATTTACGCTAACTGGCACTAAAGGCACACTTAGGACAAACTATCTTATGCTAGCCATTTAAAACATACCTATCATAATAGTGTATAAATCTGTCCAAATTTTCCATAGGGACAATCATGTACTTCAATACAAGACGAGAAAAATATCTCCAGCTCAGGGCAAATGTATATTTCTTATATAAGAAGACATATGATAACAAAGATCAGAAGACAGAAGTACTTGGTTCACCTTTATGGTACTATCAAACCTACTACTCAGAAAATATATTTCAGTGACTAACTCAGGGTAAAAGAGATAAGTACAAATCTTCTAACCAAATAAATCATTATTTATAATTTCAGATCATCATTAATATTATCCATTCTGACAAAATTATTAGATCAGACTAGCAAAATATTCAGAAAAATAAGCTCCAAGTTCAAACTAAGTTGTAATATCTATGCCCTATTGTAAGAACTGTTCTAGTGCAGAAGCCCTTACTTACTATACAAAATGCATTCCTAGACTACATATGTAAACTGAGCTTCTATAAATGGAATATTAGAAATGCATCAATCTACATGAAACCTTTACTCAGTAAAATACATGAACATATATATACACATATATTTTATCAGTTTTGGCATTTTCATATATCTGGTTCCTTTAAAGATTCAATTATAGTGGGATATTTTCAGTAACAACTGCTAGATTTTTAACTATCTTGAAATCGTTACATGAAGGTATAAGTACTTGAAATAAAAATCCACTTATTTTACACTGAGTATATTTCTTTTTAATCAAACATACTTCTTTTTTTTTTCTTTCTTCTTCTTTTCTCTTCTTTTCCTCTCTGATTTGGGCCAACCGCTGCTTCTTACGTTCCAACTCAGCCTTTAATTCACTTTTGTCAGACATGTTTATGACCTTAAGCATACAATCATTTATAATAATTATTACACTGGTAAAAGCAGCAGACTTTTAAAAAATTAGTGCTTCAAGAACTATCCCAAGAGGCCATATATTTCAATGCTATCAGAAGTATATAAATCCTACTTTTAAAGCAATAAAAGGATATATACACATATTACTAAGACTTGAGAAAAATTATAAACAAATGTATGAAGAAATATTACACAGGGTTTGAGCCCAATAGCTACCACATAGTAAGTACTTTAATGTTCATATGCCCAAATTCAACACAATGTTTCAATGGTTTTTTATAACAATATGTTAGGACGCTGGAGAGAAAGATCAAAACTAGTACTTAAAACAGACATTAAGAAGCTTAAGTCTTAAGCTATGTAACACAGATCAAAATTACTGACAGAATTTTGCATTCATTCATTCCTAGAAACTTGACAAAAACAGAGGTCAAACCAAAAATTTCTATAAACTCTAAAAGTTCTGCAGTCTCAGCAATATTAAAAGCAAGGAAAACACAATCTAGCACCATTAACAATCAAATGTGATGACTTTTTATTTCAACACCATAGCATCTATACCTATTATCGCACTTTTAGTACAATTATTTGTGACCACACCTGAAATGTTTCATATTAGACTATAATCTGTTTGAAATTAGGGACTGTGTTTTAGTCATTTTTGTTACCTCCACAGTGACCTTAATAATAAATTGACACAGGCTAAATGAATCATGAGTAAGATAGAGTTTCAAAAAACAATTACATAAGCACTACTTCAATTTTCGCCTTAGGAAGCAGTAATGAACTAGGATTTTTTTTTTAACTGAAAAAAGTAACTCAGGGACTGAGCATAAGGTAGGAGTTAGAAACCTGTTACCATCTCTATATTGCTGGTTTAAAACATAGTGCTTGGGTTCCAAGATGGCAGGTAGAGGGAGGAAGCAGAAAGTGTGCCTCCTAAAGCAAAATCTTGGAGAGACACTGGAGATACACATTACAGGAAAAACCACCGAGAAGAGGCAAAACTGTGACTCCTCCACACCTCCAGCCTGCGCATAGCATTCCCACTTCATGTTAAACAAAGAAACCAGGAGGGCGCCCGCACTGCCAGATGCCAGTGTCCAGGCCGCTTGGGAAGAAGCAGACCACAAGGTGAGCTAAGCGGCATGCAGAACTCCCACAGACAACACTGGGCCAGATCAGCATAGCCCCCTGGACAGACCGAACCCCACCCAGGGAAAAAAGAGAAACTGAATAATAAGCAATAACAACAAAAAGACACATAACAAAGAGGGCAGGGCGCCCTGAGCACCAAAAAGGGGGGGAGGGGCAATCCCTCACAGAACTGTAAATAAACAAGCCGGCTGGAGAAGGCAGGAGCAGCAGCACACGCCGAGCAACCAGGAGCGGGAAAGCTTGTAAACGTGGCGGTGGGAGGAGGAAAACTCCACAGGAGAGGAAAGAAGGCCCACTTCCAACATAAACTGTAAATAAACATGCCAGCTGGAGAAAGCGAGTGCAGTGTCACCTCCACCAGTGTGCTTGGAAAGGGGAAAGCTTGAAGCAGCGGCTGGTGCCCAGGAGAACTCTGAGTAAACAAAGCCTGTGGGGCTAGGTGAGTGTTAGGCTCACTCCTGAGATCTGCATAAATAAAGCCTTCAACAACAGCAGGCTGACAGCAGCAGGCAGGTGAACTACAGCTGCAGATAGCCATTCACAGAACTGTCTCCAGACTCTTTTTTTTTCTTCCTACCTTTGATGAGACAACAACTGAACTACACCTGAATGCTGAAAAACTTATTGAAACTGTATTGCATTTGAACTTGGGACATTTTGTGGTGTTTTTTTGGTTTTTTTCCTCTTTGGTGAGACGACAGAACTACTTCTGAGACACCATCTCCAGGATTGGAGGCTGAGGGACTAACACCAAAATTATTAAGACTGAAACTTTACTGCATTTGAACTTGGAGATTTTTTATTTATTTATTTATTTTATCTATTTATTTTTCTCAATCCTCTCTCTGTCTCTCTAATGACTGTTCAGCTTACTGTTGATCAGTACACTATCTCTCCCTGTTTATATCTTTGAAACTTGTTTTGTTTGTTTACTTGTTTTTCCCTCTTTCTTTAACTTCTTTGCTTTCCCACTCCTCTTACCCTTCCATTCTAAATATCACCACTGTTATTATTACAAGCTAGAAAATACTTGACTGCACACAGTACAGGGACAATAACAACATCAAGGGCAATGACAGGAAGACAGAAAAAACAGGGAAACCAGTTTCCCCACAGCAAAAAATAAGTACAGGAACCAGAGGGAAATGAAGAAAACAGATACTCAGATCCAGACTCCAACAAAATGAAGATAAACTATGCCAAAGAACCCAATGAAGCCCACAAGAACAATTTAAAAGAAGAAATATTACGGGTAATCAGTGAGAATTTTATAGAGATGATACTGGATATGGTCAACCAAAATGTACAGGAGACACGCAAGAAATTCCAAGACAACAAAAATAGAGAATTTGAAAAAGCACAAGAAGAAATGAAAGAAACCATAGAAGCACTGTATAAACACCAAAGTGAAACAAAGAACATGATCAATAAAGAGATAAATGAACTCAGGACAAAAACAGACAACATTAAAGAGGAAATGACTCAGGATATGGAAAATCTCAGAAAAAAGAACGAAATAGAATTGCAAAACAAAACAGACAACCAATCCAGTAGAATTGAACAAACAGAAGACAGAATCTCAGAACTCGAACATGAAATGGTAATTAAAGGAAAAACCAAAGAACTATTAATTAAACAACTCAGGACCTGTGGAAAAACAATGCAAGAACTCACCGACACCATCAAAAGACCAAACCTGAGAATCATGGGCAATGAAGAAGGAGAAGAGGTGCAAGCAAAGGGAATGCGTAATATATTCAACAAAATAATAACAGAAAATTTCCCAAATCTAGAGAAAAATATTCCCATACAGATGCAAGAGGCCTCCAGAACACCAAACAGACCACACCAAAATGGATCTACCCCACGGCATATTATCATTAAAACAACAAATACAGAGATCCGAGAAAGAATATTGAAGGTTGTAAGAGAGAAAAAACAAATAACATACAAAGGTAAACCCATCAAAATCACAGAAGACTTCTCAACAGAAACATTAAAAGCAAGAAGAGCTTGGGGTGAGATCTTCCGGGCACTGAATGAAAATAACTTCAAACCTACGATATTCTACCCAGCAAAACTATCATTCAAAATAGATGGAGCAATAAAAGTCTTCCATGATAAGCAGAAACTAAAACAATATGTGACCACAAAGCCACCACTACAAAAGATTCTTCAAGGGATTCTGCACACAGAAAGTGAAACCCAACATAACTGTGAAAGGGCTGGCAGCACCAAACTACAGGAAACGAAAAAGCAAGAAAGTAGAGAGTAACCTCAACTTAGGTACATACAATCAAACCTTCAAACAAATAAGACAACTAAATGACAGGAATCACCACATACCTATCAGTACTAACGCTTAATGTTAATGGACTTAATTCCCCCATCAAAAGGCACCATTTGATGAAATGGATTAAAAAGGAAGATCCAACAATTTGTTGCTTACAGAAAGACCCATCTCACTGACAGAAATAAGCATAGGCTTAGGATGAAAGGCTGGAAGAAGATTTACCAAGCCAATGGCCCCTGAAAACAGGCAGGAGTAGCAATACTTATCTCTGACAAAGTAGACTTCAAACCTACATTGATCAAATGAGATAAAGAAGGACATTCCATACTAATAAAAGGGGAAATAGACCAAAAGGAAATAACAATTATCAACCTATATGCACCCAATGTCAATGCACCCAATTTCATCAAACATACCCTGAAAGACCTAAAAGCATATATTAACTCCAACACAGTGGTTGTGGGAGACTTTAACACCCCATTATCATCAATAGATAGGTCATCCAAACAAAAAATCAATAAAGAAATCCTAGATCTAAAATATACAATATTTCAAATGGAACTACTTGATGTCTACAGAACATTTCATCCAACTTCTAAACAATATACATTCTTCTCAGCAGCCCACGGAACCTTCTCCAAAATAGATCATATCCTAGGGCACAAAGTAAGCCTCAGCAAATATAAGAAAACAGAAATTATACCAGGCATTCTATCTCGTCACAATGCAATAAAACTAGAACTCAACAACAAAAGTAAAGACAAAAAACATGCAAACAGCTGGAAACTGAATAACTCATTGCTTAATGAACAATAGGTCATTAATGAAATAAAAGAGAAAATTAAAAAGTTCCTGGAAGTCAATGAAATTGAAAACACAACCTACTGGAACCTATGGGACACAGCTAAGGCAATCCTGAGAGGAAAGTTTATAGCCATGAGTGCATATATTAAAAAGACTGAAAGATCCCAAATCAATGACCTAATGATACATCTCAAACTCCTAGAAAAACAAGAACAAGCAAATCCCAAAATAAATAGGAGAGAAATAATAAAAATAAAAGCTGAAATCAGTGAAATAGAAACCAAAAAAACCATATAAAGAATTAATGAAACAAAAAGTTGGTTCTAGGAAAAAATAAACAAAATCAACAGACCCCTTGCAAACCTGACTAAAATGAGGAGAGAAAAAAACCAAATTAGTAGAATCAGGAGGAGATAACAACAAACACCATGGAAGTCCAGGAAATCATCAGAGACTACTTCGAGAACCTATATTCAAATAAATTTGAAAATCTTAAAGAAATGGACAGATTTCTAGATACATATGATCATCCAAAACTGAACCAAGAGGATATTAATCACCTGAATAGATCTATAACACAAAATGAAATTGAAGCAGCAATCAAGAATCTCCCCAAAAAGAAAAGTCCAGGACCTGATGGATTCTCTGCTGAATTCTATCAGACCTGTAAAGAAGAACTGATACCAACCCTCCTTAAACTGTTCCACGAAATAGAAAGGGAAGGAATACTGCCAAACACATTTTATGAAGCCAGTATTACACTTATCCCAAAACCAGGCAAAGACATCTCCAAAAAGGAGAAGTATAGGCCAATCTCCTTAATGAACATTGATGCAAAATTCCTCAACAAAATAATGGCAAACCGAATTCAACAACACATCAAAAAGATCATTCACCACGACCAAGTAGGCTTCATCCCAGGAATGCAGGGGTGGTTCAACATACAAAAATCAATAAACGTAATAAACCACATTAACAGAAGCAAAGACAAAAACCACTTGATCATCTCAACAGATGCAGAAAAAGCCTTTGATAAGATCCAACACCATTTCATGATAAAAGCTCTAAGAAAACTAGGAATAGAAGGAAAGTACCTCAACATTATAAAAGCTATTTATGACAAACCTACAGCCAGCATTATACTTAATGGAGAAAAACTGAAACCATTCCCTCTAAAATCAGGAACCAGACAAGGATGCCCACTATCTTTGCTCCTATTTAAGAAAGTACTGGAATTCCTCGCCAGAGCAATTAGGCAAGAAGAAGGAATAAAAGGAATACAAATAGGTAAAGAAACTGTCAAAATATCCCTATTTGCAGACGATATGATCTACCTTAAAGACCCAAAAAACTCTACTCAAAAGCTCCTAGACACCATCAATAGCTATAGCAAGGTAGCAGGATATAAAATCAACATAGAAAAATCATCAGCATTTCTATACACTAATAATGAACAAACTGAGAAAGAATATATGAAATAATCCCATTTATAATAGCCTCAAAAAAAAAATCAAATACCTAGGTGTAAACCTAACAAACAATGTGAATGACCTCTACAAGGAAAACTATACACTTCTGAAGAAAGAGATTCAGGAAGACTATAGAAAATGGAGAGATCTCCCATGCTCATGGATTGGTAGAATCAACATAGTAGAAATGTCGATACTCCCAAAATTAATCTACATGTTTAATGCAATTCCCATCAAAATTCCAATGATATTCATTAAAGAGATGAAAAAATCTACCATTAAATTTATATGGAAATACAAGTGGCCACGAATAGCCAAGGCAATACTCAGTCAAAAGAACAATGCTGGAGGTATCACAATACCTGACTTCAAACTATATTACAAAGCAATAGCAATAAAAACAGCATGGCACTGGCACAAAAACAGACATGAAGACCAGTGGAACAGAATAGAGGACCTGGATATGAAGCCACACAACTATAACCAACTTGTCTTTGACAAGGCGCTAAAAATATATGGTGGAGAAAAGACAGCCTCTTCAACAAAAACTGCTGGGAAAACTGGTTAGCAGTCTAAAAAAACTGAAACTAGATCCATGTATATCACCCTATACCAATATTAACTCAAAATGGATCAAGGATCTTAATATCAGACCACAAACTCTAAAGTTGGTACAGGAAAGAGTAGGAAATACTCTGGAATTAATAGGTATAGGCAAGAACTTTCTCAATAGAACCCCAGAAGCACAGCAACTAAGAGATAGCATAGATAAATGGGACTTCATGAAACTAAAAAGCTTCTGCTCAACAAAAGAAATGGTCTCTAAACTGAGAGAACACCCTCAGAGTGGGAGAAAATATTTGCCAACTACACATCAGACAAAGGACTGATAACCAGAATATATAGGGAACTTAAAAAACTAAATTCTCCCAAAACTAATGAGCCAATAAAGAAATGGGCAAGTGAACTAAGCAGAACTTTCTCAAAAGAAGAAATTCAAATGGCCAGAAAACACATGAAAAAATGCTCACCATCTCTAGCCATAAAGGAAATGCAATTTAAAACCACACTAAGATTCTGCCTCACCCCTGTTAGAATAGCCATCATCAGCAACACCACAAACAACAGGTGTTGGCAAGGATGCAGAGAAAAAGGAACCCTCTTACACTGTTGGTGGGAATGTAAACTAGTACAATCATTCTTGAAAAAAATTTGGAGGTTACTTAAAAAGCTAGACATTGATCTACCTTTTGATCCAGCAATACCACTCTTGGAGATATACCCAAAAGAATGTGACTCAGGTTACTCTAGAGGCACCTGCACACCCATGTTTATTGCGGCACTATTCACATTAGTCAAGTTATGAAAACAGCCAAGATGCCCCACTACCGACGAATGGATCAAGAAAATGTGGTATCTATACACAATGGAATTTTATGCAGCCATGAAGAAGAATGAAATGTTATCATTCACTGGTAAATGGATGGAATTGGAGAACATCATTCTGAGTGAGGTTAGTCTGGCCCAAAAGACCAAAAATCGCATGTTCTCCCTCATATGTGGACATTAGATCAAGGGCAAACACAACAAGGGGATTGGATTTTGATCACATGATGAGGAGAGAGCACACAGGGAGGTGTGAGGATAGGTAAGACACCTAAGAAACTAGATGGCATTTGTTGCCCTCAACGCAGAGAAACTAAAGCAGATACTTTGGGGCAACTAAGGCCAATAGGAGAAGGGACCAGGAACTAGAGAAAAGGTGAGATCAAAAAGAATTAACTTAGAAGGTAACACATGTACAGGAAATGAATGCGAGTCAACTCCCTGTATAGCTATCCTTATCTCAACTAGCAAAAACCCTTGTTCCTTCCTATTATTGCTTATACTCTCTCTTCAACAAAATTAGAGATATGAGCAAAATAGTTTCTGCTGGGTATTGAGGGGGGAGAGGGGAGGGTGAGGTAAGGAAGGGAGTGGGGTAAGGGGGAAGAAATGACCCAAACATTGTATGCACATATGAATAAAATAAAAATTTTTCAAAAATAAATAAAATAAAATTGCGTGCTACTAAAATCTTAAAAAAAAAAAACACCATAGTGTTCAATCTCTGTCAATGTGTCTGTGCAACTGAAGCATTAGATGCTTCAGTTCAAGAAAACTGGAAGAATGGCTGTTGGAAAATTGTATTTAGTAGAAATCTTTTTAAAAGCACAATTATTAAACCCGAATTAAGGTTAATTAAAAGGGGAAATCCATCTACTCTAATTGGATACAGGAAATTCGAGTTGAAATACTGCATTAAGACTGTCATGTGAGTTGAAGTTTCTAGTATATAAAACGGTCAACAACTGGCCTGGGAAGCCCCTCAAGCGTAATTATCTACCAAGATTCATATGAACAAACTAATAGAGAAAGCTAAATACCATGTTTCTTACTCCGCCCTGTCTACAGCTGTAAAAAACAAAACAAAACACAACAAATCATGAACTAAAGGCTGTTGAAGAGAATTCCCATGTGCAGAGCTCTCTCTGCATACTAAGTCAGGGACGTTATTGCTGGATCAGGGCCAAGGGAAAACAGATACACTAACACTGGTTGATGTCTAGGTCTTCGGGCTGAGCCACACCTCGCATCCTCAAGGCGAGGCTGGAGCTTCTGCTCCATGACTGTCACGTTCATCTTAAGCTCCAGGGAAGGCAGTCTCCCGAAAGTTATGCCAAAACCTCTCTGCGTTCGGCGGCTTTCCATTACACACGAGGTGAGGGGACATGACACCAACCCGAGTAATAAAGGACGTTTATTTGTAAAATGGAGCGCGGGGGAAAAGGATTCTTTATCCCCTGGGCTCCCCATGAGCCCTGGAGGGCACGGTCCGGGCCGGGGCACCGGGGGAGTGCAGGGGACGCAGGACGACCCTCGGGGCCCGAGGCCGGGCGCAAGGGAGTGGACGCCTCTCCCGACCACCCTGAGTCACCGCCCTCGGCGCCCGCCCACCTGTCCTTCCCAAAACGACGCTGCCGTTGTCACAGGAGCCGCCAAGCCGGGGGACACACAGGGCCTTGGGAACAACGGTCAGCCCACCTGTGAGGTGGCGGGAGTGCCCTCCCGTAGGCAGCTTCCTGGTAATGTCTCTCGCCTAAGACTCGACGCCAACTGTCGCCACCACCAGCTCCGCGGCTTCCCAGTGCACACAAAGAGGGATGGGCGGCGGCTGCTACGGCGAGAGCCTGGGGACAAATGGCCTAACTAGGACGCGATCGCTCTCAGACGTGAGGAGTGAAGCCCCCCGGTGGGGAATCGTAACCCCTCCATGAGTTACCTTCTGTACAGCAAGAGTAGACAGATGGAACAAAGACTCCAACCGGCCAGGGGCCCGAAGTGTGTCGGCTTTACTAAAACACAGAGAACTTCGCCTTGTATTCTGGGGCTGAGCAGGCAGCCACCACCCTCCCCGTTCAAACTGACACCACTAAGGAGAACTACAAGGCCCAGGACCCATCGAACCCTGCGTGCGGCGAGCAGTGCACTCTGGGAGTGATGGCCGCAAGGTATGCTGGGATATGTAGTGTGTCCTAGCCTGTCGGGTTCCCACATCATTGAGGCCTTCTTCCTTCAAGATTCTTATGAGAAGCTTCCAGTCCTTCTCTGAATGAATTCTTAGCACTCACAAGGGTGTGCCTTAAGATCTTTGACCCAACATTGTCGTAATTTTAAAGAGAGCTGTTTTCCATGGTGAACGTGAAAACGGTGAAGAGCAAGTTTAAGGAGGGAAAAAAATCTTACTGAGGCTCCACGTGGCATTTGAGGCAATATCTAAATTAAAACATATTAATAATTCTCGAGTATTTTGTTGCACTATGATAGCGTTTTGGTTTTCTCTAAAAAGACTTTTTCGTTAGAAAGCATTTTATACCGTTGGAATTCAAGCAAGCAAGAATGATTTCCATAGTTGTGAAATTTTCAATACCTAAGAAAAGCAAATTATTGGAGTGTAAATTTTCCAGAAATGTGTGGGTTAATGCATATGTTTTAAAAAGTTTTCTTAGGGCTGGTTAAAGCTATAGAGCACCTGCCTTGCAAACAAGAAGCCCTGAGTTCAAACTCCAAACTGCCAAAAAAAAAAAAAAAATTTACTTAAAATCAAAGCAGTATCCTTCCTATGTTCTCAAAAACTGACAAGAAGCACATTGCCCAAGTTCAAGGTTAAATTTTAGGATTCAAATTCTAAGACCTTGGGGTCGTGATCTTTCCTTCATCTTTCTGTCTTTATGTACAAAATAAATATCTTGGAAATGAATTTGACAAAGAAAACTCTCCAAATTTGAAGACTTTTCCTTGAACCTAAAATTTTAAAGAGCTTTATAACAACACAAACTTTGTTTTCTGCTTTCCTAATATTTAATGAATATTTAATATTCACTTATTTGAAAAATTTGTTATTAATTGCCTACCATGTGTCAGGAACGGTGCTCGGTATTGTTTGTAAGAGCAAAACACACTTTTGTCCACTCAAGAGAGAAAGATAGGTTTCTCAGTTCAGCTGGGTGTTATGATGAGATTAGGTAAGAAAGTGATAAAAACACCTGTAAAGGAAAACTTTCAGGAGGACATGATTCCAAAGATGAGTCTTTGATTCTGAAAAGTTGAATAGAAGTTAACCATGCAAAGAAGATGCAGACAGGCATCTTCAGAAGAAGAAAGGATATGGTCAAAGTAGAGATATGAGAATATGGAGTAACGAACAATCTGGAAGTAATTCAGAATGGTTATAGGCTATGACAAGAACTGGGGAATAAAGCTATAAGCAAAGGCAAAGTCATACATCCCAGCTTAGATTTAGTCCTACGGAAGATGTGAATCCAGATTTTAAGTAAGATGATGGTATAATAAGGTTTACATTTTAGATAATCCTTCCAAAGTAGTCTAGAGAAAGACTGATGTGTTGGTTATTCTTTGTCCCTTAGATACTTCTCTCTGCTAAGCTGTATGCTTCTGATGGTTGATAGTGACTTTTTAAATACTGCCTGTGGTTAAATTTGACTTAAGAAAGGCCTAGGCAAGGATATCAGAAGGCAGGTACACAGTGAAGCTGGGGCATTTCTTCTCCACCCTTTTTCCCCTTTGATGTCACATTTCCAGCTTCATCCCTCCATGTCTGTAGCTCCTGTCAGGTAGACCTTGTTCCATGGCTCCAGTTTCTGCTGACCTCTGGTAATTATTTTCTCCTTTTCTTTCTTTAGCACTTCCTTTGTAGCTGGTCTCTGAGTGCCTTCTCATCTTTTGTTTGCTTACTTACTGGTCCTTTCATTAAAGTATTTTCATTTGAACTCTCAGGTGAATTCTGTTTCTTGCTAAGATCCTTACTTGCATAGGGAGATGAGAAATGAAGAGGGTAGAGATTGGAAACAGGGAGTGAAAGACTTTGGGAGGTAGCCAGAAATCATAAGGGCATAAACCAATGCATTACTAGGAGGAATTAAGAAAAGTAGATGGATTAGAGAAATGTTAAGATATTGTCAAGACTTTTACAGCAATAAAGCAGACTAGGTACCCCAACTACCCTTTCCACTGAAAACCACTAAAAATACTAGACAAAACACCTTCCTTTTTGCTTCAGTGAGCTGGCAAGAAAGTAAGGAATGCTTAGACAAAAGAAAGGGGGAAGAATTGGGAATATAGCTCAATGATGGAGTACTTGCTCTGTGACTCTATGTATGCTTGCCTAGCATATGTGAGACCCTGGGATCAATCCCCAACATTGGGGAGGTGCCTAACCTGTTGAACTTGAAGCTTTGTAGGGTCAGAGCACATTAGGACTGGGGTTTGAACTCAGGGCTTCACGCTTGCTAAGCAAATAGTCTACCACTTGAGACACTGCAAACCCTTTTCTGAGTTGGTTTTTTTTGAGATAGGGTCTCACAAACTATTTGCCTGGGCTGGCTTTGAACCATGATCCTCCTGATCTCTGCCTCCTGAGTAGTTAGGATTACAGGTGTGAGCCACCAGAGCCCAGCTTAAACTGCATTTTAAAAATGAAACCTCCTAAGACATCTTTGATGTAAGAAATCCACCACCACCCACAATGTCCCTCTTGGAAAATTGCCCAATGACCTTGGCATTGAGTGGGATTGGAATAAGGCAAATCAGACAAAGAAAGCGATATGGAGCTAACCCTCCCCTGAGAATAGGCCCTCAAATGAATTTGTCTGCCTGAAATTCAGTACCTAGATAGTTCATAAAAACACAGAGTGAAAATTTAGTTTAAAGTTGTTGTAGACTTGTCATGCCCTCTAGTGCTTGGGAAAAGCAAACATGTATTTCTTTTGGAGTAATCTGTCTTTATTCCAGGCTTTAAGAAATCTACATAGATAATTTTTTTTAAAAATCTGAGCTCAAAAAGCACAAGGACTCTTGCATATGGAAAGCAAGAGTCAACCAAAAGGGAGAAATGAACCAAGCCTTGTATGCACATATGAATAATAAAAGAAAAATGAAAAAAAAAAGAGTCAACCAAAACAACAAATAACAAAATAAAACCCACAAAGACTTAATTCTTAGAATTATCAGACACATAATATAAAATAAATATAACATGTTGAAAAATAAAAGGAAGAACTAAAATATCCATAGAATAGCAGATTTGAAAAAGAACCAAACTAGAACTTCTAGAAATTAATAACATAGTAACTGAAATTTAAAACTAAACAGATATGTTTAACATAGCTAAAGAAAGCAATATAGGCCTTAGGCCCAGCACTAGTCTTAGTGCTGCACTTTGTAGTCTGCTGTAGCCCTCATTCAGTCACAAAGAGCCATATAGATATGGCTGGTCACATTGAGTCTGGATTCCTCTATCTACATCACATTCCTGGCATCAGGAACCCTGAAATTCGCAGCTCACATAGCCCCAAACATGCTTCTAGTTCATTACAAAGACCTTTTTTCTAGGACTATCCTTCTGAAGCAGACTGTGCCCTTAGGAGCGTGGCCAAGAAATTACTCTCATGGGAGCCTGGATGGAATTTGGATTGGGAGTGTACACTAAATGTCCCTTGTAGTGTGGTCCAGAGCTAAGGGCAGAAAGAAATCTGAAGCTAGCAGTTAAAAATGGCTGTCACCGTGCCATCTCTAGGTATTTAAAAATTTAAAATTCAAACCTGGCCTTTCTCAGGGTAGGAGGATGGAATATATTTAATTTAATTCTTCATTATCTTGATGTGTAACTTTTAAACATATCTATATAGTATTTGTTATATGTAGTAGATGGTCTTCCATTTGTACTCTTATTCAGGGTCCTAGAAATATTAGTTGTAGATCTGGAAGAGAAATGTTTGTATTGGAAGATCATACTAAAGAAATTATCTGCCTGGGTGTAGTGATACCCACTTGTAATCCTAGCACTCAGGAGAGTGAGACAGGAGGATTGCAAGTTTGAGGCCAGCCTGGGCTACAAAAAGAAATCTTTAAAAATTATCTGGAATACAGTATAAAAAACAAAAAGATAGCATGTAATAAAGATAGAAAGGCATGGATAATAGAAAAAGGTCTAACAAGCATCTAATTAAGTTATAGAAAGGAAGGAGAGATAGCTAGAGGCATGGCTCACATTGTAGAGCACTTGCCTAGTAAGCATGAAATCCTGAGTTTAAACTCCAGTATCACAAAAAATAAAAAAGAGGAGAAAAAAATGGAACAGAGTCAGTATCTGAAAAGAGTTTTCCACAACAGGTAAAATCCAATTAGTTCGAAAATGGGATAAATGAAAAGAAATCTAGACCTGGACACAGCCGAATGAAACTATTACAACAAAACAAAATAAGAAAACAAACAAAACCTCTAGAAGCAATCCAAATTTCCACCAACTAGTGAATGAATGAAATTGTAATATACCTATACCGTGGAATATTACTAGCAAGATAGAGACATGAACTACAAATATATGCAATGATATAAATGAATCTTGAAAATACCATGAGGATCACAGTTCAAAACCAGTCCTAGGACAATAGGAAATTTTTATAAAAGTAATGTACTGACATGCCACAGCATTTTATTTACCAGATGATCGCTGGGTAAACCCATTGTAAATTGAAAACACCATAAGTAAAAATTTCATTTAGTACACCTAACCTACCATTTATCATAGCTTAGCTACACAGTACTCTGTTGAGTATCAGTGCTATACCCCTGGGACTGAGTGTCTAAATGGGAGCTAAACTTAAGGTCATTGTCACTAACTACCCATTATCATGAGAGATTACCACAGCCTTAGAAAAGATCAGTATTCAAAATCTGAAGTATACTTTCTAGTGAATTCATATTGCTTTTATACCACCATAATGTTAAAAAACTTGAGTCAATCCAGTCCATAAATTAGGAACCATTTATATATGATGAAAATCAGGCACAACTAATCTAGTTACATATCAGAATAGTAGTCACTAACTAGAAAACG